AAGAGAAGGCTGAGGGGGGATCTAGTGGCCTGTTACAAACTAGTCAGAGGGGACCAGCAGGCATTGGGGGAGTCCCTGTTCCCCCGAGCACTAACAGGAGTGACCAGGAATAACAGTCACAAGCTGGCAGAGGGTAGATTTAGGCTAGACATCAGGAGGCGCTATTTCACTGTCAGGGTGGCTAGGATCTGGAACCAACTTCCAAGAGAAGTGGTGCTGGCTCCTACCCTGGGGGTCTTTAAAAGGAGGCTGGATGAACACTTTGCCGGGGTCATTTGACCCCATTACTCTTTCCTGCCATAGCAGGGGGTCAGACTTGATGATCTGCTCAGGTCCCTTCCGACCCTAGAAACTATGAAACTATTGTACCAAATTCTGAGCTGCAGATTCTATTATTGGAGCTAGACACCTAAATGTTAGATACTGCAAATCAGTGTCACAGCCTAAGACCTTTTATGGATGTTGGGCCTATAGTCTAAGAGTTATATTGAGCAAATTGTACCTGGTTTCTTTGAGCACTGTGTAGTGCTGACTGTCTCAGGGGAGGTCTTCAAAAGGAATTTCATTTTCTGAGGTAAAATTCTTTCTGCTGCTCCCAGCATGCAATGGGAAGAGATTTACCACTATGCCCTTTAAGGAATCATAAGTCAGTTCCTTGCTGCATTAAACTACAATCAATGTAAATCAGGTTTCACTTGATTCAAGAGAGTCCAAACAGCGGGTTGTAAACTGATTTTAAGACATAAAAGTGCAACTGTGCATAGAAAAGGGCTTCTTTGATTAGCCGTTAGCTGCACACCTTGAAAGCTTCAGTAAAGATTTTAAGTCTAGTCTTACTCACAATGAGCATCTACTCAGGTATAGTTCAGTAGGATGCACTCACCTGGGGCCCCCATTCCTCTTCAGCCTCCTCATTTCCCTTAGATGAATTCTTGAGGTTAGATGTTGCATTCAAATCCCTGCAAAAGAAGACAGACCACAGTGAAGTGAGATTTATGTTTGACGCTGCCAGTTTTTGTAGGTCCAGCACTTTATTTTGGTAAAAAGTCATTTTTAAAAACAGAAAGGGTTACAACAAGACCAGGAAACTGGTAATTGTATCTTGCCCCCTCCCAATGAAATGTTGCTAATCCTAATCTTTTAAAAATCATGACCCAGGCCCCCAAAACTCATAACAGTTAAACAATAATTAGTGTGATAGTTTTTATTTTATTATTTTTATTTGCTCCCTGTGCTGGTGGCCTTTAGGATTCACATTGTCAGGAAAATACAGGAGCTAGAAACTAGCATTTTTTTTCCTGAAAGTCTCCGTTTGTAGTTAATCACTTGATTCCAGAAGCTGAAGCTTGACACTGTGAAGGTAACAACATTTGTTTTGTCCATGGCATTAAAAAAAACTAAAAACTAATGCTCTGCTTGGGCCTAGGATGGACAAACCAGAGGAAGCAAATCAAGACCTCATCAATTCTGCAGCAGTGCAAAGCTCCATAGGCAACAGGAGTGAAAAATAGGACCACATTATTCATTGCCCTGCTACCTGTGGAGGTGTAGGTCTAGCTCCAAGGGGTGCATCCACACATGCAGGCACATGCACCTGCAGCAGCTCAAATAGCAGCAGCACAAATTTGTGCTGGAGATTTTTGCCTCAGTACACATGCCTGAACATGCACTTTGGTGTGGGGCAAATCATGCCACTTGGGGCAAACTAACCCTGCCCAGCTCCTCCCAAATTTTCAGCCAGGGGGAGCTAGAGGCAGTATAAAAAGCTGCCCTGTCAAGCATCTCAGGGCTACTTGCCCTCAGGAGCTTCTGAGGCCCAGCTAGTTGGTATCTGGAGACACTAATCTAGGGTGGCCCCTGCAACCTCTATCCGTTGCAGCAGTCTGGCAGTGGGGGCTGCTGCCTGGCTGTGATCTGCTACCACCTGTGACAGCATCTGGCCCCTTGTACCTGTGGCCCGTTGGCTGAATGCCTGCCAGACCCAGGCTGGAATTGCATGGCCACCTGGGCTGTGGTATGGGCACTGTAGCAGAGCCTTCTGCATCTCTAGGCAAGCTGCCAGTGGGCCATGTCTGCACAATTGGCCTTTGTGCAGCACTGCTGTCATATCTTCTGGTGCCCCCACTCTGCCATCTGGGCAACTATTGCCCAGAAGATGTGCTTGTTGCAGTGGGCAGCTATGAACTGTTAAAGCATGTCCCCTTGGCCCCAGGTGGACAAGTCAGCCACCTCATCTGCCCTCCAGCTGGGTCCCCAGTGCTGGCCCTGGGCAGGCTCCTCTGCCTGGGTCTCACTACTTGCTTCACCAGCAGATATCCTGGTATTCCGTTTTAAAACAGAAAATTCTCTGATAAAATTTCCCAAATTCTGTCATTAAAAATACCCACAATCCATGTTCTTCCACGATTAAAATGAAATGCCACCATATATCAAGAGATAAATTAAGCAGTGTTTGACTGATATATTTACAATTTTAAAGCAAATTGGAAGCCTACCAGTGTCTCTATCATCATAATAAATTAATTGTAAGTATCTATACACTTTGGCATTTGTTTTTGGGTTTTTTTATCATAGAAAAATCAGAGCTGCCATTACCCTTTTGCTCACCAGGAATTAAGGCACTGAGCAGCAGTGGCATGCCAGTTCTCTGCCCCTGCCCTTGCCCCTCACTCTCAACCCACAGCCCCCACAGTGCCCCTCACTTCTGACCTGCAGCCCCTGCCTGTCCCCACTAGCTCCCTCCCAGCAGCAGCTCCATCCCAGCACCAGGACATGGGTCCAGCTGCAGCTGTCCCACCTGCTGCTTTGTGGCTCTGAGCAATGCCAGCCCTTGAACAGGGACTGGGCTGGGCAAGCCCCTTCCCTTCCAGGCCGGCCTCCACTTGCACAAGCCGCTCTAGGGGCACAGGGGAGCTCTAAGCCTGGCTCTGGCAGCCTCTCCTAACTGAAGCATTTCCCCACCTCCAATCCCCATCTCTCTTTCTTTCTCTCAACCCTGCTGCCACCTCCACCCATCCCTTCAGCCCATCAAACGCCCAAGTAGCACCTGGGACCAGGAGCCACCCCAGGTTGGGGCCGTATGTCACAGCACTGATGTGGGTACAGGGCAGGGCTGCAGTACCGCAGGTGCCCCTGGAGCCACAGCTCCTGCCATCAGGTCCCATCCCATCCTATTTGGCTGGCTGGCCACTCAGGGTGTGAGATTTGTGTGGGGGATGTGGGGTTTGGGGTGGGGAAGAGGTTTATACGGGAAATTTGGGAGGGTTTGTGGGTGGGTGTAGGGTTTGTAGGGGTGAGGTTTATGTGGTGTTTGGGGCTTGTGCAGGGGTTTGGAGTGGTGTGGAGTTTGAGGCTGGGTATGTGGATGGGTGGTTCATGGGGCTGGTTTGAAGGTGTAGAGTTTGTGGGTGGCTTGTATGGGGGTTGTGGGTATGGGGAGGACTACATGTGTGGGGGGACTGCTCAGGAGGGGTGGGTCCCCTGCCCACCCCCCCCAGCATCAGCAATGGCCACGGGGTACCCAGGGCCCATTGCTGGCAGATCCCCCACCCATGGCGCAGTGAAGCCCTGGCTGTTTGGGACCCAGCACCGCCTGTGCCACATAGTGTAGGCCCAGCCCAGAGGTGTGTGCCTTCAGGCAGGACTGAGCTGCTCTTGCTGTTACCTGGGGCCCCCGGCACTGCACACAGCGGCCACGTGTCAGGCTAGGCCAGGTCCTGCCTCCATGGAGCTGGCCCAGCCCGATGCCATGTGGAGCATTTGAAGGCAGCACCTGGTCCGGACCAATGCGTGGCTCTTGCATGCAGTGCCAGGACCCTGGGTAACAGCAAGAGTGTCCCAGTTCTGCCTGAAGATGCACACCCCTGGGCCAGGCCCACACCATGTGGCACAGGTAGCACTGGGTTCCAGGCAGCTGAGGCCATGCCATGACATGGGGGGACTCTGCGAGCAGCAGTGCCCCACAGACACTGCTGCTCCTGTGGGTGGGCTGTGCGCTGTGCAGAGGGGTAGGCCAGGGACCCACCGCTCCCAAGCAGTCCCCCCGCAACACACACAGTCCCCCCACATCCACAACCCCAACCCCTGCCCCACTCACCTACAGTCCCCCCACCCCCAACATTCCTACTTGCCAGGGACAGAGCCTGGGTTCAAGACACTGCTGCAACCTTGCTCCACTCCTATTTGCCCCAGCACACTGAACCCCTTTTTTTATTCCCAGCGTGCCTCTTGCACAATCTCAAACTGCTTGGAGATATTGCATCAGGCATGTGTTCACTTGTTTGGATGTACCCAAGTAGGGTTATCAGATTTACACATACTTTAGGTTTCAGGTCATCATATCCAGCACTGGTAACTAATGATCTACCAGTGGGCTGATTATCTAAAGGCTTAATAAGTATTGTTGAGCCCATCCAAACATCATTTCCAAAATTGCTGATGGGGCTGCCTTATCCCATTTAAATCCTGCAGAAGTTTCCATGACAAGCTATTGTAACCTCCTGCCTGTACTGAAAATAGCTAGCTCTTTGTGACCCATTGTGGACTTTGGCTCAAGACCTACAGTTCTCATTGGAGTTCTGGCAGCAGTGGCAGGAATTTGGGCTCTGGCACCCATGATGCCACCACAGCCACAGGGGCAGCCACTCTCCCACTGGCTTGTGGAAGGAACCTTGGCTCTGGCAGGACCTGGGACTCTAGCAACTGCAGCAGTGGTAGCCAAGTCTTATCAGGATTCCCTTACAGCACTGCTGCCTAGCAGGGAGCCAGCCTTGCTCCCTCTCTCCATCTCCCTTGGAAGGAGGAAGGGAAAGCAAAGGACTCTGGGATGTTGGGAGTCCTAGAGACTCTTGTAGCACTACATGCAACTAAACAGCTGTTACGTCGGGCACTACAGAAAAGTTTCTGTTTCAAAGGGGTACTATTCTGTAGAGCTCAGTGGTGCTACAAAAGGTGAGCATACAAGAACTTTAATAGTGCTACAAATGTAATGGCTGTCTATACCCTCAGATTCTACCACATAGTGACAATTGTTACCTAGGTATAGGACAGATCCCCAGCGCCACTGATTTCAGTGTACATACGCTGATTTATACCAGCTAAGCTTCTAGTTCCCAGTATACAGAAACCATAACTAGAAATCATATAAAAAGGAGGGAAGCGTAACTCAGCAAGTATATAATATTCCCAGATATCTCAAAATCTAGTGAATTTATCTAAAATACTGCATTCATATACCCCAATCCAGAAACTGTATATTGTAGGTAGTGGACAGGCTGTTTCTTACACATAGTGTGTATCTACACATGCCATTAGGGGGCAGCAATAAACTGCAGAACTTATTGGAAGCTCCTGAGCACACAGCTGCACATACACCTAGACTGCAGCACAATGAGCCAGGTCACAGCAGCCGAAGCTGGCAGGGGGGTCCCAGGGGTCAGCCTGCCAGCCCAGGGCTGCTCCAACCGAGTCAAATGTGCTGCAGAGAGGCTGGATGGGGCACAAGGGCCATGTGTTGATGAAACGAGGGGTGTGTGTGCACAATGACATTTTAAAGCAGGCTAAATGCTTTTGCACTGCTTTTAATGGTGGTGGTTTTCGCACACCTCGGTGGCATATTGCGCATTAATTCCAGGCACTGTAAGAAATTCAGCAGCATAATACATCTTAAATGACTGAAAGGAGTTTTAGTTTGCTTCCCCTACAGCTGCAGAGGGAAGTACTGGACTACATGCAGCTCAGCTCTGCAGAAAGCCCTGCAAACAGCTTGGCAGCAGCCTGGGAAAACAGGCTCCACCCAAGAAAAGCAACAAACCTGATCTTTTTTTTTTCCTCCCTGCCCTGGAGCCTGCCTGCCTGTCTGAAGTGCGCAGGGGGCCCGGTGCTTCCCTCCGCACCTGTGGTGTCCCCTGGGACCACCTGAGTCAGGTGCCTGTGGACAGGTGCCACCTGGGGGGGCTGCCATGGAGGGAAGCACTGTCCCCCCCCCACGCAGCCCAGGGACTGCTTCACCCACCAGCAGTTCTTCCCCCCTCCCCACTGGAGAAGCAAGTAGTCAGCGGGGTGTGTGCACGACAAGTGGGTTTAATCGGCCCTAAATTGAAGTGCTGTTTTTTAAAACCCACCACTTCAGTTCAGGTCCCCCGTTTCATCGACACACACCCATACCCACACCCACACTAAAGCATCCTCATGCCCCAGCCATCTGGGCAGCATCTACATGTGCGCTGCCAGGCACAAAAAGATCTGCAACAAGGTATTACTTGTATTTACAACTACTACCCTGCTGTGGAGTTTACTAGTTTTGTGCACCCTAACAGGGGTGCATATGTAGATGCTGAGATGTTTATTGCACAGTTAATTAGTCAACATCTTGTGTAGATGTGTCCATAGCAAGTTAATCTACAGTATTTACCTTTTCTTAGAAACAGAAACATTTACCCTTTACAATGATTCCTTTAGCAGTCCAGACATGTAGAAAAAACTGCTTGCAAGATATGTGCCTATTGACACCCTGGGATTAATGTCAACTGAATGCCTGCAATTTGGTATTATCAACTGACTGCCTGTAATCAGATATTGCATCACTTTCTTCAACATGCATCACTTCCAATGATACAATATCTTCCCCACAAATTGCATCTTTGTGCTCTGAAATTGTTTTCTAGCTTTCTAATGGCTTCACACTATGTGACAGTGTTGAATATGTAGGCATGGTTTCCCCAAAAATATGGCAAAGGAGAAAAAGATTAAAGACACCTGGGGATTTGTTCTCTTAGTCTTCCTGAACCAGAAATATCTTCCTCTATCCATGAATTAACCCATTGTAACCTAGTTAATCTTTACCAAAAATGGAGAGGATTTTATAGATTTTCATCTGCATCAAATAGTGTTTTCCCCTCTGATTATAGTGACATATAAAATTGGGATAGAGGGCTATTATCACACTTTGGGCAAGCCATTCATGTCTGTGCCAAAGGACCCATATGACACAAAGAACTCTTCTTCAATGCAACACTTCTTTATTTTAGTACATTTGAATCACTCTACTCCAGGCAGCCTAGGTCAAAAGACAGCAACTACACTCCAGAATAACTTTCAAAGTACAGAGGTTGGATTAGCAGCACAGAATGATTCAATTAAGATCTGATAAATTGTTCAAACCCCTAACATTAGCTGTATGAGCAGCAGCAGTAGTCCAACTTCTATCCTTGCCCCCTGCCAAAAGGCTCGCAATCAATTTAGGCACAAACCTCAAGCTAATGTAGCAGCAACAGCTTAAATTAACCTCCAACCCCTCCTGCGAAATCTCAGGGTAGCTATGGGGGACAAACTTGTCCTGATTTACAGGCAGCCCTGTGCCCCTTTATCAACACAGGCCACATCATCACTGGACCAAACCACATGGATTATAACATCCCAGATTCATTTACCTGCACCTCTACCAATAGCATATATGCCGTCACCTGTTTACAGTGCCCCTTTGCTGTCTGCATTGGACAGACAAAGTGAAACCCACATGAAAGAATGAATGAACGCTGATCTGACATCAGTTCCAGAATGACAAACAAGCCCGTGGCAGACCACTTTAACCTCCTTGGACATCCCATCACTAACATCAGAGTGGCTATTCTTTGACAACAAAACTATCAAAATGAATGGGGAATTGCAGAACAAGAAATCATCCACTGACTGGATTCTGTTAAGTATGGTCTAATTCCAGACCACAGAGCATTTCCCCTTTACCTGGATTAGGTTTTATAACACTTATGTCCCTGAGTGGATTTACTGCCTTGTTTTTTTCTCTCCTACTCAGCTTGCCTCTGCCAGCAGTCCACCTTTCTTTTTGCTCCCCCTTCCCTAACCTTTGTATTCTGAACTATACTTTCTATTTAGAAGTTCTGCTTCCTGCAGTTCCCTGACAGCACCCACTGAAGTACACCACTGCTTACAAAAGTGTAGGCTATGCATCTCAGATTTAGTGAGTCTGAGTTTCTAAACTACCCTGACTTCTGCCTGTCTTCAGACTAACATGGCTAACTACCTCCCCCAGCAAAGAGAAACACTATGATGCAGTGGAAAGGAAAAACAAAACAGATAACCTAGATATAACTGACAGTGTTTAGCACCTACTTGAGACTATATCCCAGGTTATCCTATTCCATTGTTAAAGATTAAGTCTTAAACCTAGGTTAAGATCTTCATGGTCATCTCTGTTAAGAGTGCTACCAGGTTCTGTGTAAAACCCTAGCATCAATCTTGTCAGCAGGAGTTATTCCACTGACTTAGCCAGGACTTCCCTCCTAGCCTGGAACTGAATGGATTTTTCCAGGACATTATGTTTAACTGAATAACTTCCAAGAATTCAGCACTACAAATCAGGAAACAGGCACTGTTCTGATCACAAAAGAAAGAAGGGATTTAAAATACAAGTACTGATATATGTAAAGTATGACAGAGAAAGGGTTGAGAATCATAGAAATTTAAGTAACATAAATGGAGGGTAGCCTAATGCTTCTCACCTGTCCCCTACTAAAGAAGGATCAATCTAGTGGTCTCAGGACACACAACATCTTTCCAGTGTAGTTACAAATATTCTAACTAAACATAGTTAGTATATTTCCTACTGGGATGATCTAAGTAAGAGAAAGTTATTTTTTTTATTTTTCAGCCTGCACTGCCATGCTAGAGTATACACAACCTCCCTGTGCAGCATTTCTTAATACAAAATATTAATAAATTGAGACAAGTGGTGACAAAGCATTCAGCACTGTCATAGTAACTCACTGACCGAGCATTTCATATGTTCACAGCATATTATTAGACTAGCAAAGGAAAGTTAAAAAGGGGTTTAAGGAGGAATGTATAAATATTATCTCATTAATTTTAAAATGATACAGTAAAATTAGACACAGAATATTTAAACAAAATCTATATGTATTAATTTTACAATTTCTCATAATGTTGCCTAGTTTACACTACAGTGAAATAACTTACACTGAAGAGTCAGCCGAGCACTTTTTTGGGTCTTGCATACTGTATACCTCTACAAAGCTGAGTGCAGATGAAGTTATTGCATTCAAAGCCTGCACTGCTTGATTTGCTCTGGCACTTGCTATTTATACTGACTCTTGGAGGGAGAGGTCTCGAAACTGAAACTTAAATTTCAAGTTCTGCACAAAGTAAATCAACACAAAAAGATTGATTTCTGTGTCTTCATGACCTTTAATAGTCCTTGACTGGGTACACTGTAAACAATAGGGGGTGGAAACCTTATAAATTAGTTTAATTAAGTTTAGAATTACAGATATATAACAGACATTCCTCTTTGAATTCCTCTTTAACTTTCCTTGACACATAACATGTGTTCATAAACACATCACATGTGATCCAGGAACAATTCAATTACCCATTTACAGGAAAGGAGTGTCTTTCTTTTAAACTAAACACTTCTGTTTCACAAGTCAGCTGTTTTCCTGGATTCAACCGATAGAGCAAAGAAGGAAATGCACCCATTAAATGGTTCTAATAATTATGTTCCAAGACACTGTGAGCCAAATGCCTAGCTAATGCCAAGCAGCATCTTCCCACTGAAATGCATTTACCCCAGTGTGCACTCAAGCCAACCACAATACCAAGCCAGCCTGTGACAGGCCCATGACACTTACCACTCTCCTGGCATCCAGGTGACTGGTCTCTTGGAGGGAGGAAACCAGCGTGGCCAAGTGGAAAAGAAAGAAACTGCACCAAAGAGGGAAAGAAGAAACAGCTGGGTCAAGCAGCGAATAGGAAGCTGCCATGGTTGACCCAGCTGGGGAAAAGGGAGATTTAAAGGACGCTGGGAGGGCAACCCAGGGTCAGATGGAGAGAGGGGGAGACGAGAAGAAAAGAAGAAGACTGGTGAGATCACAGAAGAAGGGAACTGACCCCAGAGCTTAAGGGAGAGTTTCAGTCTCCTGACTTACCTGGAGTGAACCAGTGAAGGAACTTCTTGGACAAGAAGAATCATCACAGGAGCCGAGGAAGCTGCTCGTCCCGTGAGTCCAGCCCAGGGGGGAGGGGATAAAAGTAACCACTACAGGAACCTTGAAGAAGATAGAGATATGGAAAAAGTTACCCCACAGGAGGGAGGGAGTCCATCCCTACCTTGAAGATAAGAGCAGGATTAGATGTAAAGGAGCCTTGAGACCCATACAAGGAAGAATGAGGCAAGCAGCCAAACTAAGATGATGACTCCGAACAGGGGTCCTTTAGACTGAGGCCAGAACAATGGCCTCAGAGGCAAGCAACAACACTCCTAGAGCACCTGGTGTGGATAGGACAGGGTACTGGGATGGTGGAGCCCTGTGAAGTCCAACTGACGCTTTGAGCCTATAACAACCCTCAGCTCCCAAGAATGTTTGAACATCTTTCTCCCATAACATCAAAGGTATGGCAGGAAATTTTTTATGAAGGAAGAAACACTAGCATCAGCAGGGGGATGCCTCAACTCTAGACAGCGTGCCATTGACCTTCCACACTGGGGTACATGGCCAGGTGGCTGGAGGCCTAGAACCCCAGATTGCCTGGGGAATAGCCACAAAAGGGAAGCCAGGCAAACCAAGTAAAGCACTCCTCACCGAACACAGAATGCTGAAGTGTTGGGTGTGGGTAGCATCGATGCCCTGCTTGCCTGCATCATGTGAGCATGTTTAGGCATGCCAGGAGAATGAATGGTGCCAGTAGCCCATAGCAGACATCACTGAGACCAGACTGGACCACCTGAGTGGAAAGGGGTGATGTATGGGGATGGCAGAGCCTCACAGAAGACCCACTGGCTAAGCCAGCAGGTGGGCATGGCACACTAGCGGCAGCGCTGCAAGCATGTGCTTTCCACACAACCATTCTACCTAGGTCAAAGGAGGGTAGAGGGATCTGCTCCACAAGTCATGGATTCTCTTAATGGCACATATACCCTGGAAATACCCTGTGAACTCCTGAAACTACTGGCATGTCTACATGAGACACAGTGCAAATGTCAGGTAGAGATATCATAGCTTTAGGCTCCTGGCCATCTTTATAGTTCTTTGTTAGGGAATATATTTGACAAGCTACACTCTGACAATGCTAGTCCCTTGGGGATTCAGGCAGCCAATTCTATATTCTTGGTGCATCTGCTGTGGTGCCCTCTCTTTCTCAAGGAACAAATGGGAGCAGCCAAGGGAAAAAACTCACTCTGGTTCCATCCAGCTTCAGGAATTGAGGGGGCCCCATCTGGCAACAGGAAACAGCCTGAGTGAATTAGGATTCAGTCACTTAACTGTATCCCTGGACCACTTCCAATCTGTCCTTTTTTGCTCATGGGAACTAATCCCATATTTGGTTCTCTGGGGCTTTCTGCACCACCTGCAGTATCCCCTTCCACCTTGACTTCAGCACAGGCCCTGTGTGGAAGCCTTCTCACCACTAAGAACTATCCAGCCAAGTCCATACACTGAAGATAATTTTTACCTTGTTATCCAAGGAACAGCCTGAACTGACCTTCCTTATTTTTACAATCTTACAGCCCTTTAGAGCAGATGGAGCCAGAAGTGACTGCTCCTCCGGTTCCAAAATAGATGTCTACCTTGACTGCCTTACATGGCGCTGTTCCTCTTTATCTTGTGAGGAGGTGGTAGGCAATTTTTCATAGCTGTAAACCAGAGCTTGTGATCCAGCCTTCTGCTAACACCCCAAATCTACACCCCCAGAGTGCCAAAGCTGCCCATGCCTACCCTTACATGAAATGCCCAAGCCCCCTGCAGTACAGGTAAGCACAGGAACAAATGACCAACAGAAAGGACTGCAGAGTGAGAATCTGAGGAGAGGATGGATTGCTCACTGTAGCTGTATTCTGCCTGATCTCTCCAGGCTGTCATGGGCTAGGATCCAATGTTTTCATGGGGTGGATCCAGCCTGTAGTTCATAGGCTGCCAACCTTTCCTGTAAGGGGTCAAAATTACCTCTAAATAAGCCAATTCAGGAACCAAAAGCAATATAGCTCACCAAGGTGGCCTCACCAAGGTGGGAAGTATTGAGAGGGTGGACTTCAATGAGCTAAGGAGAATAGTCGGGGAAGCACTGAGGTCCCGGAGGGGAGGGGAGCCAGGTGTCCAAGAAGAGTGGTTGCTCCTTAAGGAGATGATCCTCTAAGCCCAAAGGGAAGTAATCCCAACATGGATCAAAGGGGGCAGGAGGGCGCAAAAGCCCCCATGGCTCACCAAAAGCATCCGGGAATGTCTCCTAGCTAAAAGGGAAGCGCACACCCAATGGAAGGG